TCAATACCGATCGCATGCGCGGGTGAGCATACATAGCTACCTAATCATCTCCCTCTTTTCACCAGCCCCCCTTTTAGCTAAGTAGTCTACTTTTAGAAGCTTGCGCTTCATACCTCTAAGTTGACTTTTGTTCCTAGTGATCGGATAGCTGCCTACGCTATAATGTGTTCAGCAACATTAGATTTCAGGGCTGAGGATCAAGCGTAAGTTTACTCAAAGCTATATCTACACATTTGTGAGTGTCATCGAGCAGTGATGTCGAATACTCCTGAAAATTTAGTGACTCGCAGGTTATGCAGACAAAAGCGAATATATAGTTCGAGTTGGCTTCTACACTTATATTAAACGCTGAATTTACAATATTGACAACTGGACAACTGCCGCTTATGCTAAAGGTACATTCAAGGCCGTCATCGTCTCTTCAGCGAATTTCCGCTGTCCCGTTTCCGTTTGCGAATGCTTTTCTTTAAGCAATAAAAATATATACCCGCTAACCGTATCTTTGACCTGTTTCTCAAAGCCGATGAATCTCTTCCCGAATATCTTTTTCGTCCATGCGTTATTGATCTTGCAAGGGGTAATCCGTGTCGGGACAACCTCAGTGCCGATTAACTCTGGATATTGTTCCTTGACGAAAAGGATAGCATCGAACCAATTCGTATGTCCTCCGGTAAGAATATACCGACCAGAGGGAACCGCTGTTGTTGATAACGCCTCGACGTGACATCTCGTCACGTCGTCTATATGAACGGATGTCGCGATCAGTCTCTCTCTGCCCTTGCCGCGGACATGGTTTAACAACCTCGCGTTAGAGCCAGTGTAGAAATCTTCTACGGTCCTGGCCAAACGATTGACGCCGAAGACATTGGTCACTAAAAGATGTACGAAATCAAACGCTATTTCTTTATCCATCAAGTCATGAAATTCAGCTAAGATCAGCTCGCTAGCCCTAGTGCTAGCATATTCAGCAGCGTCATGAGGCGGGTCATAAGGCGGGCCCGAATACTCAAAGTGCACGGGATCGTGTTCGCCTGATGGCCTTCGTGAGCAAGAGAACGGGATAGGTTTAGATGTGGAAGTCTCACTTAGAATCTCCTTTGTTCCCACCCAGTCGTCGAGTTCCTCAGGCGTGAAGTAGGCAGTAATCGATGAGGTAACAATAATCCGCTGGATATGATCCGACAACTTGGCGGCGTCTATGATATTCCTCAAAATATGAACATTAGTTACGGCGGAAACATCTGAAGGGTGTTTTGACTAGAACTACGTTAGCGTGTTTCTCAGCTTTCTCCAAGGGCATAGGAGGAATAGCTGATACTAACGTCTGCAAGCGACGGGGATGCCGTATAGATGATTTGATCTGCTCCCCTGAAAGCCTCTACCAACTCTTTAGTAGTCGGGGTTTTTCCGATCTCTTTGAAAAACAGGCGGTTGACACATCTGGTGGGGAAAGTCTCTATAAATTGTATGACTTTCTCAAGGGAGTCAGGCCCAATGACGGCGTAGACTGTATATCCAGAGTCAATCGCCCTGATTGCGGTCTCGTAGCCTATAAATGAAAGAAAGCCGATGATCTATCGACAGAATTGGTAAGAACAACCATTCACGTTGCGGTTCATTTTACTTTTGGTAGTCAACTTACCACAACAATCTCTCTAAAGCCAAGGTCTGAAGACTCGTCGCTCTCAGGCTCGCTCTCGGGCTCGCCATCTTTGGAGTTAATACTGTTCGTATACTCATCTTCTGCGAGATTACCGTCTTCGGACTCGACATCTGTCAGCTCGTCTTCTCCGAACACGCTATCTTCGGACTCGCTGTCTTTATACTTGACTGTGCGGTTTCCAAGACCGCCGTCGTTGTCAAACCAAATAAGTTCGATCGCCGGGTGTTTGAACTCGCCGAGTACGGGCTCCTCGAATAGTCGTTTGATGCCTTTGGGTTCGCTATCTCCGGGTTCGTTGACCCTGTGCTCACTGTCCTCAGACTTGCTTCCTTGAGGCTCGGTGCATTTGATCTTAGTGTCTTGAGGTTTGAATTCTTGAGTTTCTTGGGCCTTGGTATCTTTGAGCTTGTTGTTCTCGGGGTTTTTGCCTTTAAGCTCGATATCCTTGGACTCGCTGTCTTCTGGTCCATTGCTTCCACGAATGATTCCCTCGGAAGCCGGTTTCTCGGTTGGGCCGCTTTCGGGTACATGTTCTGCAGACTTTTGTCCTCCAGGATTACCTTGTACACCTTGTCCCTTACCGCCTTTCCCCTTTTTATTTCTGTTCTTTTTAGCCATTGGCGATATGGGTATAGTTTCTGAATGATAAAACTCCACACTAAAAATAGTCAACACAGTATTCAGAATTGGGTCGTTTAGCGATAGAAAACGAGACTGCAATAGTGAGTGATGGATGATTACAATAATAAGTCCCCCTACTATGGCGCAGTAAGTAGAGAAGATAGCGAAGTTTGTTTACAATCGTAAGGTGCAGCTTCCAATACAACGTGTACCAATGACGCTTCCCGTCTAACATGGTCACAGTACTTATCTAGAGAAGTCACTCTCAACCTTCATCCCATGGAGTCTGGGATACGCTGTAGCCCTACAGAAGTTGCAGGCTGCAAAGTGAAACTATAAACATGGCCTACACTATATAGACCTGCGCAAACTTGTATTAACATAGAGCAGTACCACAAAGGGGTTCCACCATCACTTTCCAATCACAGTCTCTTATTTCGGTATCGAACACTTTAGGCTACGGGTAAGCACACAACTCAAAACTACCTACTCCCTAAGCGTCGGCTTCCAATCTAGGTGAGTACTGAAAAGTACATTAGTCAAGAGGATTATGGATGAAGGATAGATAGTAACATAACCGGCTGAGTCTGACGCCCTCGAGGAGACTCAGAGTAATAGGTATTACGTAGCATTGCTTTATGACGTTAAACGCAACACGCTCATTTATTATTCTGTTACTTGTCTGTTTTTCCGATAAAAGAGTGAAAATAAATAGGTAGCTAATATAATATATCCTTAATGCTATTCTCGTACGTGCGCCATTCCCTTCCCGCTTGATAACAGCACAAGATCCCTAAAGTGTACTAATGCGCGCCAAGTACGACGCCTTTTTCTCAACACTTTTCAACATGATGTAATTGACTCCATGTTATTAATGAGCCTCAGGGAGTATAGTTGCACTATAAAAGTACTGTCAATTATATTCCTATTTAGTTGGTACTATCGATATAGTAGCAATGAGCGAGGCAGCCCGAGTATTCGTATACTAGCCTCTACATCAAGAGTTTATTTGGGCAAGGGAGTTTATCTCCGGCCATGATTGCAACATTGCCTGCCGGAAGCACATCAGATCATGTAAATATGCGGGGGTGTTCTATAAGTGCTGAGAGGCGGCCTTAAAGAATCCTGCGGCTGCAGATCGCTCAACCTAAGACACAAGAAACCGTTGCGAGGTGCAAAAATAAGTTGTTCTCGGTACCGCTATTTTGCAGAATTTGTCTAGAAATGAGGTTATACCAGAAGCTATATAAGATCTGCGACGACGGCTGAGAGTCGAGCATAGGTATGGCTCCTTCAAAGCTTGCATCATGTTATTCTCAAGTGACTGCGGTCATCTCGTGGACGCTGCTGACGATGGGACAAGACCTTGGCGGAGCTCTCTATCTAAAGGCATCATCTTCACGCTGAAAGAAGTCTTCGATGCGGAAGGTGGCAGAATGGACGCAAAAGTACGACGCAAAAGTATAAATCTCAGCGTTTCCTCTCTCATTGTAAGGCCATTCTTCTGAGACAAACGCACATCTCATAGCATACCTTCGAACAGAATCCCCATTCAAACTTCATATTCCCCAACACCAATCACCCACAATGAAGACTACGTTCGCAATCGTGGCCTTGCTTGCCTCCCTCGCAGCTGCATCCCCCACTGGCAACGGGAATATCGACACCCGGGACATCACACCTGAGGGGCTCTGGAAGCGCGCATGTGATGGCTCGCCGGTCGATAACCCCATTTGCCCACCCGGTGCCTTCTGGGTAAGATTGTTCTTTCTGAATACGAGAAGTACTGAACCGACTAATTCTCTCGTGACCAGTGTGGCCCTGCCGATGGCAAGGGCCAGTGCATCCCGTGTGGTTCAGCCTGTTAAGAACTTGGACAAGACGGTGAAAAGTCACATGATACCTAAGGTACCGATGGCGTACTCACAATAATAGAAGCTCGATACTGACGTTGCGCAGCACTCGCGAGCCACGGATAGTCTATGTACGCAGATGGGAGTATGATATGGTTGATTGGGGCATTATGACTTTTCTGGCTGCGAGGACGCTTGCTAGCCATATGCATTTACGTTTCGATTTTCTCCTCACGTTACCCGATAGTATGTCGGGCTAGCCGCTCGTTTACCTACAGAAATACAGACACCTCGAGGTCATCAAGCTGTTCCACGTGACTCATCATTGACTATGGTTTGCGATCTCGGTTATTTAGGGGCCTGTAAAAATGTGATTTCAAGTAAGGTGAATATGTAACGGTATCAAACCGACAAGGTATGAGCTCTACATCGACGATATCGGACTGTTCGTTAGTACAGTGTCTCCGAGGACTACGGAGAAGTAGGAGAAAGCATCAAGACCTGGTCACTACGAAGCGAAGCGAAGGACCTTGATGGCGTCCGGATGAGGGACTATCAATTTCGCGTTGAAGAACTTCTAGGAACACTGTGCTAGGTGTCTACTTACTTGTAGATATCAGTCTATAATCTGTTGTCATTTCCACGTGCCAATAGACGCACGGACCGTGCATGATGCATGGGATCTTCCGCTAGCCTTATCTATTAGTGCGGCCCGGGGCAAGCAGTTGAAATTGAAGGAAAAAAAAAATTATTGAATCGAGAATAGCGAGTGAGAGGAAATACCTAGGGTATAGAACAGAAAAAGAAAAAAAAAGTAAAAAAATGAAGGGTTGCTACTCCCAGATGGGAGGCATCAGGAATTGAGCCCAATGCGGGGGTCGAACCTATGATGGCAGAGTTAATATCGGATTCTCTTTGCTCTCGAATCGAATAGATGGTTACTCACCCGCAACCTTGAGATTAAGAGTCTCACGCTCTATCCAATTGAGCTAACCGGGCGGTTGATGGTTATTTGTTATGCAAAAATCATTCTTAGGGGATTGCGAGAATTTGGTTTGCTGCCGATGGAGCTATGTAGGTAGTCGGGCAGCTTAGACGGGTTTCCCTACTCGCTTAGGTAGGTATGATTTGCTAGGACCGGGTCTAGCTCTAGACCCAGGTCCGAAGATTCGTTATCATAGCCGAAAGATTCCTCTTAGTACAGTACTAGTTTTTCGGGTACCTACAGAGTTAGGCAGGCAGTCCATCTACTAATACCATGCAGATATGAGTAGGTAGTGGATCTTCCCACGTCGAACATGCGTCGGACAAGGGCCTCTATGTGCAGCTCAAACCCAACGGAGACATGCCTGCTCGACCAGGGATTTCCTCGAAGTCGTGTCTACATGACTAGGTATTTACACTGGGTAGTTTGATCGGGATCTCTCAGGTCTTATGCCTGTAAGGCTTGTCGTCGTTTCATTACGGCTATCTAGCCGACGTTTTTTTATACGGGCCTTTAATGAGTTAAACCATCCTGCCTACACAAAAGCCATAAACGAGGGACGTTTGGTTAATTATGCTAGCTGTTGTTATAAAGAGGGCAAAGGTTTTGATTTGGGTAATTAGAGGGTCTCGGTTACCACGTGCAGCGAAAAAACGTGGTTTGGGGATGAAATGAGATCCAGGATCATCTGCTGGTGAATTGAGTATGACCTATTACTAGTGTCGACCAAACCCACGGGTCCACGGGGTGATATGTCTTTCTTTCATGTTCTTCAACAAAATTGATGCCATTCGTTGCGGGACGTCGTATTGAGAATTGTCAACGTTTGAGTAACAAAACCAAATAATTTGTTGCCCTTGCAGGATTATAGAGATTGCCAAGATCCAAGATAGAACAAGCAGTCTGCCCACTAACCCAGTGTGGATCAGCGCTGGTCTGTGAGGGCGACCTCTCGGATCTCACGGGAGTTCCCGGTTTTGGGTCAGTACAGTACAGTACACGAGACAGATGACGCCAAGCCAGCTTAGCCACGGCTGCTGAGCCGGCAGGCTTCCCATTAGTTATCACCATCCGTCGCAAATATTCATCAGCTGAAAAAACGGCCATCCTACACATGTTCAGGTAATTCCCGACGTCGCCAGCCACACTGGGGCAGTAATAAGCAGCCCTTGCTGGGGGTGGAACGTTGTCGGACGACACTCTCACTTGAGCCGCAATGACGTATAGTAGTTGTGTTACCATTTCCTCGATTGACACCATCTATTTTATATTCCATTCTTGGCAAAAACCCTTTAGTCTTTCTGCTTCACGAGAATGGCATTCAACTAATGACGTTTTAAGTATATTGGGGCCGCCTGAAGGTGCGTTGACGTGGTTGTTGTTTTTGACTTCTGACTGGGGCCTTAGCAGGCCTTAGTAGCCTGCCTTGCTGACTGTTTCTAGAACCATTCCCTGTCGAAGGATCGACTCAGGGGGGCGACTAGTACTAATCATAGTAGCAATTTTGACAAATCATGCCTAACATGTGGTCAAACGTGCTGAGAATAAATCGTAATCAAGCAGGACAAATTGTATTAAACGTGGTAAGTCTGGGTGCAAAAAGTGGGAATCAAGTACTAGTAGTAGGTATGCCCGCTTGTATACTTTATTTCGCTGTGCTGTCGCGGTTTGGCCGGTTTCTGCTTCCTTTGCGATCGTGATATATCGATCGTCGTCGATTCGATTTAGCGACTCCTACGGCATCCTATCGCTAGCCTCAACAACGGACTGAGATCAGAATGGACCGATCTGGGGTTAACACTATGAAGCGGCTGCATCCGAACGGGATACCGGCAGATCGCCCTGTCAGTTGGAGTGCGATTCCGGCCGACGACCCGGCTGCCCACGAGCAGATGATCAAATTCGTCTCCGAGTCGATAGTATGCGACCTCCAAGGGAACATCTCAAGCGGATTCATGAGACAAATCCATGCTTCCAAGAAGAGTGCCATGTCGCCTCACGACAAGGCAGAACGGATGCGCATAATCCGCGAGATGCGAACGACGCTGGAGCGCCTCACAGAGGAGCTGGGACAAAAGTTTTTCGAGGAATTTCGCCATAGGCCGGCGGTTGGCCGGTGGTATGACTCCTGGTTGTTCAATGACACGCCGCAATTCTTGCGCTGGGAACAAGAATGGGCCTTCGCTCCCGAGGAAAGCTTGGTCACGGTCGATGCGCGTAGCATCTGCGGTAGTACCGATGGGCGTGTATTCGGTTCCGAGACCACCCCCGAGGTCAGAGTGGAATCTGAAGAGGACATTGAAGAGTTTGAGGATACCCAGGAGTTCACCCAGGCTCCCGAGTACAGGCCTGACGCGCCTGTGACCGAGGTAAGCCGGAGATCTCCCATCCGTCGTCGTGTCGGCACGACATCCCCGTGCACGAGGCCAAGCTACAGTTCAATTGACTTGAATGTGGTTAGGAAAAAACCGACGGCCCTGCACCGACCTCCCCTGGCTGCCAGTGCGACCATACCGATGAAGAGGGTACCGACTCGGAGAACACCCCCCACCTCTGCCAATCGTGCGCCTGCAGCAACCAGGGCTATGGCTGTATTGCATCTTGCGGTTGTGACGAGACGTGCCGAAACAACTTCAACAACATCGCGCTCGATAACATCCTCGGGGTCGACATCTCGGGGTCGCCGGCGAAACTTAGCCCGTGCTTCATCACCTACTTACAGAAGCACAATCTCAAAGAGACCATCACCCTTGACTTTCTCTTTGAACATCTTCTCTCCGGTTTGGATTATGTACCAGATGGTAACGATGAGGCAATCGATGCCTGGCGGATGGAATGGGAGACTGCCTATGATGGCCCAGATCCGGAAGCAAAAACAGAAAAGCTTCAACGCGAGCTCCTTCGTCTCGGCCTCGGGCTCGCTGACAAGCAGGGGGAGTGGTTCTTCTCGTTCTGCTATAACAATAGCGAACGGATCGGAAGCTGGCAACAAGGCCACCAGATATGGCATTGTAGAGCCTGCGGGAGTTGTAGTGAACGGCAAGAATGGCACTGCGGGAAGTGCAACAAATGCACTTATGGGAGGGGGATTCCCTGCAGCGGATGTGGAGGGGTCTCGGATTCATACCACGCAGAACATAAAGAGTGATCGGATTCAGGCTATCTATCGACGAGTGAAACGAGTGGTAAAGAAGTTGAGGACACGATCATCTAGAATCACTGGCGTTGGAAATGCAAAAAAGAGAAGGCGATTGTCTGGTGAGGGGCGAAATGTGCTGCTCTGAGACCACGAGCAACACTGCCATATCGGAGCCCAATGCCGGGAACGAGGCATATGGGAACCGGGCTTGTATATAGTATATATCCCACATTCTTTCATGTATTTTTCCTTATAAGCGTTAAGCATGGTTTCGCGGCGCGGTGGATTAGGGAGACCGAGGGCATGATCCAGGCTCAGGAGGGTGGTTCTTGGCTCAATTGCTTTGCTGTTGAAGGATGGAAATGTAAATACCGAACTGTTGTTACCTGTCAGATATACACTTTCCTTTTGAGGTCTTGTTGCAATCAAAACGATACTCTCGGCCTAGGTGTCGAACTTAATATATATGTATAAAGTCCGGTTTGAAAAGCACTGTAAGGATTGTATTATCTACTGGCGTTTGGACCCTCGATAGGATAATTCAATGGAAGAACATGGTGTTCAAGCTGGTAGTGCAGCAACTATCATTTCGCCAGTAGAGCAATCAAGATTTCTCACACCTGAGATCTGAGAACCGAATTCATGATAAAACTTTAAGATCACCCATCGCGGATATTTGGTCCAGGGTGCGCTCAAAGCTCTTAACGTCAAGGAGAATGATGAGCTGCTGCGGTAATTGCGGACAATATTGGAACTTTAGAGAGGCTATACCATCGGAGATTTTTGAGGACAATGACGGAAATGTGACCGTAGCTGCGGCATAGATAATATCTCTCTCATCACAAGCATAGCTGCACGACTATAAGATGCCGTCGCGCCTCGTTTAGTGTTTGCATGGCATGGATTCTAGGCCGAATGGTGGTGCATGGACTCGGGAATATCCCCACAAGCTTTGGATTCATTGATCATCGGTATGTGGCGACGATCATTTTTTGTAGCGTGGCACAGAAAATAACGGATGAATTTATCTAGATTGGATCTTCAAGGGGTTTCCATGTTTGAGTGACGGCATTCAAGCAGGTACGTAAGGGTTGTTTAGGAAGAGGAAGACACCACCTGCCTCGTTTGTAATTCTGCCATTGCTGTCTTGCGCCCTGTGACCACTTAACTAAAGGTGGGCTGTTACCGGTGACTGTAGTGTGCCGTATTACAGCGGACGGGCAGCTAGAAACGCTATCCGCTACCTTAAAACTGGTAGGGGGGTACCTGCTAATCTAGGTTTTTGATGGTTACACCACAGTTCGTAGGAACATGCCTGAATGGCAGGTATCTAGAGCGAAGCCTATAAGTAAGCAGAGGTAGGGATATATAACTTCAATTAATGTTCATTAAGTCCCTCTAACCTTGGCTTTATCCTCGTGGATAGTTCTATTTACCAATCTCTAATGAATTGGCATACGTTCGCCTTATCGCTCGAAAGAATCCAATTAAGTACCTACTTAATACAGTCTGTCTAATAAAGTGCATTCGAAGACAAAACGTCACCATTTACACTAAAAAGGAGGCGGATACCACGGCTCGCGTCTGGAACTGGATCCCCTCCCACCCACCTCCCGACCCACGGCTACCAGCAGGGACTACTTACGACACTACCTAGTACGGTATCTGTTTAACTAGACCAGACCAGATCAGACCAGACTACGCATACCTCCGTTACAGCTTACGTGCAATATAGGGTAATATTGCTTTGGGAGCTGTAGCTGTAGCTGTAGCTGTCGCTGTCTTTCTTTCTTTCTTTCTCTTTTCTCCAACTAGATAGGTAGAATCATTACCATACTATCACGACCACGAGTACGACTACGAACAGATCCACGC